TCATTGGCCAAGCTCCCTGTACGCCGTCACTTGCAATGTTCTTGGTTACTTGGGTTATAAGAATACAAGAAGGTGATCTAGGGTTTTTCCACCACACTCCTGGAGGAAAAAACGAAGGTCCGCTGCTGGAGTGGCTAAGAAATGTCATATCCTGCCCTAGCCGGTTTGGCTCAGTGGATAGATAGAGCCTTGGCCTGCTGACCGCAGGGTCCGGGTTCGATTATGATCAAGGGCGTGTACCTAGGTTGCAGGCTCCTCCCTGGCCAGGGTCCAGGTCAGAGCTCATGCAGGAGGCAACCAATCAAAGTATGCCTCTCACATTGATGTTTCTCTCTCTCCCTCTCTCTTCCACACTCTCTAAAAATCAATGGAAACATATCCTCAGGTGAGGATAAAAAAGAAAGAAAGAAAGAAATGTCATATCCTATGAAAGACACATCTTGAAAATGCCTAAAGAAAGTTGTCATTTTTTCATGGTAAAGGGACTGGAGTCCGTGTTGATGAAAACATCTTGGCGGCAGCCGTGGCTGGCAGTGGCTGCAGCAGCAGGGTGATGGGACTGGAGCCTTCCCCTGATCAGCCCAGTCGCCTCCCGCAGAGGGAGGCCAGACTGCAGCTTATGCCCGTTCCCCATTGGGAATGGGCCTAAGCCGTCAGTAGGACATCCCCTGAAGGCTCCCAGTCTGTGAGAGGGGGCAGGCTTGGCTGAGGGGGACACCCCCCCTCCCCCAGTGCATGAGTTTTGTGCACCGGGCCCCTAGTTTAGATATAAACACCTTGGAAGTGGGAGTATTTTCTCTAGCTTATTGATGAAAGTTGATGGAGGATGCTAAGAGATAATAATAGAAAAGGCATATGGGAGAAAATAACTGTTAAAAAAGGAAAGAGAAGAACAAGACAGTGAGATGTATGACTGCCATTTGTATCTTCCTCTGCGTCTGGTCCCGTAGACATTAAACTTTTATAATTGAAATATTCTGAACTATCCAGAGAGTTTTCCTTTTCCCATCCTGTTCTATCTTTTCACATTCTACTTTTTCAAATTCCAGGGAATTGGGGAGAGGAGAGCAAGGAGCTGGGGAGCAGCCTGGTTATGTGGGGCAATTCAAGGGCTGAACATTACAGGGAAAGCCCTTTACTTGGACTAGGTTATGACATCCTTCAGCACGAATGAAAAAGTTTTTAAAAAATTGTTGCCATGAAGGAATTGGCTCTTTGAGGAACCCTCTCCCTCTCTTTTTCTTTGATTCAGTTTTGACTACTTAAGTTGTTTAAGAAGAAATACTCACTTTACAAGAATTTAGTCTGTTATAAAGGAGGAAGGAAAGCTTATTGGTATATGTGTTAGTCTCTGGGGAATGGGCTAGAGGGGAGACACAAAAGAGGTTCAGCATGATCTTTTATGAATGGGGCATATTAGAGATTGATTTGTTGATTTCCTTTTGCGTTCTTCCTCTTCTCTTTGCACATACTCTGTTCTATGGAATATGGTATTACTCTTGTCTTTCACTGAGTTTGAATGTTGCATGGTGGTGAAGAGTCCAGGCTTTGGACCAGCCTGCCTGAGTTTGAATCCTGTCTCCACTGATTTTTAGCTCTGTGACTCCAGGCAAGTCATTGAATCTCTCTGTGCCTTGGTTTTCTCATCTTTTAAATTGGAAATAGTACCTACTGTATGGGGTTGTTGTTGGGATTAAAAGAGATATAATATGTGAAAGTGCTTAGAACAGTATCCAATATATGTACCTACTAGAACTCAATACATGTAAACTATCATAATTGTTCCATTAAGCAGGTGGAGAACCTTCTTCACATTTGTCTATAACATTACATCAGTTTGGTTAAATAAGGAATACATTTCAGCTGCCTAACATTAAAAAAATAGGACTAAGTGTTAACTGCCTGAATTTTTTTAAATAACCAAATATATGAATCTCTTGAGTATTGCACTGACCACAAAGATTAATTGTTGTTGTCACTGCTTAAATATGGTTTGCTTTTTGGAAAACAGGTTATCATTTATAGATTCCTTCATAATTCATATGTGTTGAGTTATAGAATTCTCCATGTGGAAGGTCTGGTTTTTAAGCCTTAATAAAGTTACTGTATCAAAAGTAGGATTAATTAAAATTTCCCTTGAATATTTTAACTTTAATGTTAAAATAATAAGCTCTTTCTTGTTCCTTATACAGCATAAAAACTTACATTCACCTTTGAGGTATGGGATCTGATTTAGAACTAAGAAAAGTTTAGTAATTAACCATGTTGGTCCTGTGTATGTACCGTATTTGCCGGCGTATAAGACGACTGGGCGTATAAGACGACCCCCTAACATTTCCACTCAAAATACAGAGTTTGTTATATACTCGCCGTATAAGACTACACCCTCTTCCACACACCTTCCACACACCAAATAAAAGGTAAAACAATATCAGATTTGATTTTAACATTTTAATTTATATTCAAATGCTTATGACATGCAGGAAAACTGTCACAAGGCTGTATGTCATCAAACA